GGTGAGGATTTTTGTTTTCTTGACATTGAGATGCAATCCATAACGAAGGCTGTGTTCCTTGATCTTCATCAGTAAATGTTTCAAGTCCTCTTCACTTTCAGCAAGTAAGGATGTATCATCTGCATATTGCAGGCTGCACAGAAACTGTTAAATAAGAAGTTAATTTGCTATGTAAATTTTCTCTAAAATTACAATGAAAAAAAGAAAAATATAAAAAAGCCAAGGGCATATCATAAAGCTATTCCTTTTGTCCCTTGCCCATTCCAATTTCTACAGACACAGAAATCACATTCTTTTTCTTCAACAGAATATATGAATTGTTTAATAACTGTAAGTTAAGGGACTTCAAAAAGTTCATGGAAAAATTCCATTATCTCGTAATTAAATTTTTCCACAGATATTTTAAAGTCCTCTCATAATAAAACTCTAGGGAATGGGTTTTTGCTATTAATAGAAATAACTCTCTTCTAACAACTGTTTTGGCACTTCAGTATTCTCACATCTAGCAGTACGATGCAACTCTGTAACAACTTCTAGAGATTTGTCAGGATAAGAAGTAAAGGTATTCCCCCAGCATATCCTTTTGAGGATTTCATGAATATTAATCCAGTTTAGAGAGTTACGGGGTAGTGTTGTAGGTTAAACACTGGCCTGCTAATCAAAAGGTCAGTGGTTCAAACCTACTAGTCACTCCTAGAAGCTCTATACTGGGTAACTATGAGTCAGAACTGACTTGACAGCAGTTAACAACAACAACAATTCAATTTACAAGTGTGCAGAAAAGAGTTGATACAGGAGGTCTGAGACAGCCATCCTTTGAAAGGTCTTCTCCCGCCTGCCTTTGTATAACATATGGAGGAACTGGAATTTGGGAGGGTTCCACGAGTCTCAGAAATGATAAGAATGGCTCACTGCGCTGAAACTGTTATACACTTGCATTCCTTCAGGTAGACTGGAATTTTGCCATGTTTTAGTCAAGGGGGCCTACAAGACCAGCCCCCAATAAAAACTATGAGCACAGAATCACAAATGAACTTTTCTGGTTAAACATATTTCCCACCTGTCCTCACAACTTGTTGCTGGGGGAACTAAGCGCATGGTATGTGACTGTACTGAGAAAGAGCTCTTGGAAGCTTGGACCTGTTTCTTCTAGACTTTGATTTGTGCACCTTTCCCTCTTTGCAGATTTTGCTCTGTATCCTTTTGCTAAATAAATCATAAACATGAGTATAATTATATGCTGAGTGCTGGGAATCTTCCTAGTGAATTATACAACCCTGGGAACCCTGACACAACAAGAGAGGCAAATTTATGTGTAGAAGTTGTATTATGTCAAATCCACATATATTTTATTACTTAAAATTCATTAATTATTTTTATATCTCACTAGGAGTCTTGGTGTGGTACTGTAGGCTAATATGTCAGACTGCAAAGTCATTTGAACTGAAAGGTCGGTGGTTTAAGCTCACCAGCTGCCCCTTGGAAACCCTATACAGGGACGCTATGGGTCGGATTCAACTAGACGGCACTTAACAACAACATGCTTGCTAGAAGCCAGAATATGCTTAACAAGGTAACAGCAGAGAGGCAAACAACTGCTAACCATGTCAAACAACCCAATAAGCTTTCATTTCACTGACCTGTGGGCTATAGAACCCTGTTAAAAGAAATATCCTGCCAGTTGTATAATCTAATGCTGCCACCGGACCTCCTAAGAAGAGAGAAACCGTCAGAATTTGGTACTTTTGTTCTCCATAGCACCTCAGTTCAATCTTCTTGATATTTGCCTGGGCGACATCAACTAATAAGAAAACCATCAACAGACAAAACCCAGTACAAGAAGTACCTTCTAGAGAAACTAAATCTTTGAACTAGATTATTAGGGCATTCAGGCTAAAACCTGCAATATGGGTACAACTCTGGGATACTATAAGTGAAGGACTGGGACCTGGGTGCTGTTGTTGGGGACATGGAATGGAGTGGGATGCACCAGGGTTGTGCAAAGGTACTGCAGGTATAAATGAAAACAGAGGCCTTTGATCACCAGCAACTGTTATGGAACTAAACACACACACAAACACACACATCCATACTCCTTCTCTTTAATTATCTCACGGAATGCAAAAAAAAAAAAAAAAAAGTTCTGCCTTTGCTTCTGCTTCTCCATTACAATACATACCAGATTTTTTGGAAGCTACAAAATTTCAATTATTGTACAATTACAAAAAACAAATAAGGAAGCATATCAAAATGTAGTGTTAGGACTAATCTAAAAATATTTTGGTACCTAGTTATGTTTTTAAAACATTTGATTAATGAGCTTCACACAATTCACACATAAGCATATTTGGATCATACTAATGGGGCAAACATATTCCTGAAAGGAATACAAAATCTCATGTGCTATTTGTGTTATTAGTTTCAACTACTTCCCTACCAAACCTTTACCCGCAGCAAACATGAATAATGATAAACAGCAGATCAGACATAAACTCAAAAGCAGACATGCCTAAATTAGCATACATTCCTCCTAAGCTCTTGAAGAGGCAGATGAAGAAGGTGGAGAGGCGCTTACATTTTCCTGGTTTGGCTGGAATTCGAATCACAGTGGGCTTCCTGGTGGGCGCTGGTTGAACTGCTAGTTCCTTTGTTGGTTCTCTTTTTGTGGGGAGCTGAAAAGGATCTAATGAAAAGCACAGCTTATTTAGCATGTTTTAGTTAACATGGACACAAACAAAAAGTCTCATTCATAATTAAAGAGTCATTTTTTTTTCAGGCCCCAGGGAAAACTATTCATGGATATACAAAATCTCAGTTTGCAGAGACAAAAGCAGAGTTGGAGCTCATGAAAGGCAATAACTTATTGCTCTGTAAATAATTCACATGGTTTCTCCTCCTCTCTGATGAAAGAGATCCAGGGCAATCTTGAATTATGTAGAAGCTATCTTCTATGGTGTACAATCATTTCATAAGCGCTTGTCTGAGAACGAGGGGCAGCTGGAAGTAAGAGCCGACTGTCCCCCATGGTTAAGCCGCCAGATGCCCCAGTTAGGAAGGACTCCCTTCTCCCCTCTCTCCCTTGTGCTTGTACTTTAATAAGACTCAACCCTAGACTTAGCAATGGCCCTGGTCCTACCCAGCAATGGGCAGGTGCTTAGCAATCTCAGACTGAATGCTTCAGTAAAACTACCCTTCAGGAACATAACAATGTTAGGCCTCTAGAAATAAAAATATCTCTGCTTCAAATATTTAATTTGGGGATAACTACAAACCGCAAGGTCAGCAGTTCGAAACTACCAGCTGCTTCATGGGAGAAAGATGAAGCTTTCTGCTCCCGTAAAGATTTACAGCCTCGGAAACCCTTTTCAGGGGTCTCTATGATTTGGAACCGACTCGACGGCACTTAATAACAACAACTAGACTTCTTCATCTATCTGATTTATTTAGAGAGGACCTCTCAAATATGCTTTGTTGTTGTTATGTGCCGTGGAGTTGGTTCTGACTCACAGTGACCCTGCATAGGGTTTCCAAGGTTGTAAATCTTTAGGAGAGCAGAAAGCCTTACTTTCTCCCGCGGAACAGCTGACCGTTTCAAACTGCTGTCCCTGAGGTTAGCAGCCAGATTCGTAACCACTATGCCACCAGAGCTCCTTCAAATATGCTTAGAGAAAGCATCTTAGACAAAAGCATAACCACTGATTTTTTATTTTCTTTCTTAAATATAAATGTTCTTTTCACTGGTTTGGAAAAATGACCACAAAACTTAAATAAGTAGACTAGCAAAAACAAATAGAATGCTTTACATTGGGTACTCTAGGCAGCACACAGAATTCCATGAGGCAGTCTGTGCCTTTGTTCAACAAGAGACTGAATGAGAATATGCTGTACTTCTGCCCCTGGCCTTTGGATGTTGCCTGGGGGTGAGATACTGCCTATAGAATTCTGTAGCTCCTGTGATGAATAGCATTCATGTTTGCCTGTGCTATGAGCTGCAGTTCAATAAGCACCTTCTGCTGAGCAGCTCTTTGCAGGTTACATGAAGAGCTGAGCCATGGATAAGGCTATTCAGCTCTCTAATCTTTCCCCTTTCCTTCAACCCTGTGTTCAGTCAAACATACTATCTTGTATCCTGTCAAAAGCATCACTCACTAGTCCCTTGCTCACTAGGGTAGTTATGTTCACCATGTGTGTTAGGTGAGACATACGGCAGTAAAGTGCAGTTCTATTTAAGTCTCTTATCTATACCTAAGAAGGGTTCAATATTGCATAGTAGCTAAAACTGTCATTAGGTTACTGAGGAAAATAATTAAATGTCCCTTTATGAAAATCTATCAGTTCACAGATGAAAGAAGTCCTGCCTAAGTACAAGAACTAATTTACTATGATCAAAACAATATTAAACTTCTTATTAAAAAAAAAAACCGAAAAAACTTCTGTAATAGTAACACAAGTCTTTCCTGTGAACCCTGTCTGCCCAAAATAAACAAAATTCTTGCTTTCAATTTTAACAAAATTCCTTATTTCCTCATTTTGTTATATTGTTGATATGTGCCATCAAATTGGTTCCAACTCATAGTGACCCTTTATAGGGATTCTGAGGAATGGCAGTGGGTTTGAATGGCCAACCTTGTACTTCAAACCAACCTTACAGTCCAGTGTTTATTTTGCCGTGCTACACCAGGACTTCTCATTTTGCTATAGTCATTATTTTTTATTTCAAAAGTAGACTTTGTTGAGAAAAATGAAAGAAAAAAAATCGAGAGAAAAATGAAATTTCCTACAATCCTATCCCTTAAGTAAGGATTACTATCTAACAGTACGTATACCTGTCTACAGATTTTTTTTCCCCTATAAAAATAATATTCATTATTGTACAGATATTTGAAAAGCAAAGCCAGAGTCATTTTATACCAATTTCTTTGTAATTTGCCTTTTCACTTTTGTTTATTCGATAAAAAATGAAATTGTGCCTATATGTTCCAATACTATTGCAGGTATTAGGTATGCGTCAGTGAACAAAACACAGTTGTCTATCCTCAAGGAGCTTCCCTTCCACTGGGGAGACAGAGGCAATAAACAGTAAGTATCAGAGATGAATGCTTTATGTGGCATGGTAGGAACTGAGATGCACTGTGGTAAAAGGGACATGCAGAACAGGGTGAGGAGTCTCAGAGTGGGCAGGAGGGAGGCAGGTTGAAGAAAGAAAGGAGTGTGTTATGGGTTGGGGATTGTCCATTAATGATACTGTTTAGCTGTCTTTCCAACAATGGAACAGTAAATATTCTACTAGTTATTCCAATTTGAATCATGTAATCTAGACTGTAGGAAACAGCAGTGCCAAGAGATTAAAAATGGGTAGCTATGTTAAAGACCGTTATAGAAGCCCTGCTGGCTAATTGAAAGGTTAGCAGTTTGAACCCATCCAGTGGTTGACTCAGTAGCACCTAATAGCATGTTAAAGACCAATATTGCAACTATAACTGAATCTTAGCTCTGCAATCTATTATGAATAATATTAGCTAAAATGAAAGAATTTGAAGACCCCGTAAATCTTGGCATACATTTTATAGAAACTCAGAAACATGGTTTCATTCTTTCTGTTCATCTTTTCCTCCCTGACACTGACTCTGCTTTGCCTCCCTGGCCCTTGTTGGTATGCCCTGACCTCCAAGGAAGCTCCAGGACTCCTTCTCCCCGACTGCAAGACTTGACTTTTATCCCTTCTTTTGGGATAAAATTATCAGCCTTAAGCTGGTTCTTGAATTTTGGGGTCCTTTTTCAATGCATTCTTTCCTTTAAATGTCATTATCTGTTTGGAAAGTTGGCTTTGGTACTTAGAATTTTTTGGTTACTGGTATTAGTTATCAGTTGATAATGTTTTTGGAGGGGTATGGCATCCCTGGGTGGTGTGATGGGTTAAGCGCTCTACTACTAGCTGAAAGGTTGGTGGTTTAAACCCACCCAGAGGCACCTGAGAAGACAGACCTGGTGATCTGCTTCCAAGGGGTCACAGCTATGAAAACCCCATGGAGGAGTTCTGCTCCATTGGAATGGACTCAATGGAACCTACAACAAGAATTTGCAGGAGGAAGAAAATCTTGAGTATGAAATTAATTCAATTATTAATTCATTTCTGGACCAGTTTACCATTGGGTCCTGGTGTGGCCTACTGGCTGGTTGTTCAAACCCACCAGCTGCTCCTCAGAAACCCTAGATAGGGTTGCTATGAGTCAGAACCAACATGATGGCACTTAGCAACAATATACCATTGACACACTGTCTCTAACATTCCTGGAGTGAGGGCATGGGCAAGGGGAGCAGAAACGAGAAAAAATGGTAATCAGTGTACCCAAGGGGCTGGACACAGAGACATTGACCATGTGTCTGTTATGGGAGGACTGGTCTCAGGAAAGCCTGCTCCAAATCCTGCACAGTGTGTGGGCAGATCTCGTCCAGTCATTTTGCTTAAAACCTGAAGGATTTAGATCACAGCGGAATGTATGTTATTGTTAAGTTCTGACTCAGCTATCCTGCTTAGGGTTTCCAAGGAGAGTTTGGTGGGTTTGAACTGTTGACCTTGTAATTAGCAGTCTACTGCTTATCCTACAGCACAACCGCAGGACTCTGAATGTATACTAGCTATATGCAAAATGGGGGCAGTGGTGGTTTAGCAGGAGAATTCTCACCTTCTTGGCAAGAGATTGGGTTATATTCCTGGCCAGTGGACCTCAAACAAAGCACCCCTGCCCTCAACATCTGTCAGTGGAGGCTTGTGTGTTGCTGAGATGCTGACCAGGTTTCAGCAGAGCTTGTAGAGCAAGATAGCCTAAGAAGAAAGGCTGAGGATCTCCTTCTGAAGTCAATCAATGTAAAGCTATGGGTCACAAAGGTCTGATCTGCAATGGACCATGAGGATGGAGCAGAACTTTGTTCCATAGTGTATAGGATTACCATGAAGAAGCAGCCAATTTGATGGCCGCTGTTAAGTACCACTGAGTGGGTTCTGACTCTTAGCCACCCTGTATAGGGCTTCTGAGGAGTGGCTGGTGGATTTGAACCACCAACCTTGCAGTCAGCAGTCCAGCATATATCTTAAAGCGCCACACCAGCACGCTGATGGCAGCTAACACTACATAAATATTCAAAGCATTCCAACTACATTATCCCTTCATTCTCTCATTTTTGGTCTTTATTTTTAATACTATTGTAACACCCTTCCTAAATCCAAACCAAAGCAAAACCCCACGGCTGTCAAGTTGATTCCAACTCTTAGATAATTTGCACTCAAATCACGTTTAAGTTTTTTCACTATGCAAACCTCTAGAAAAATGTTTTTCTCAACATGCTGAGGCAACGAAGTTTTGCTATTGTACAACTGGAGGCTGTTAGTCAGGATTGAGTCTGTTTAATTATCTGCCCAGTCGTGAGTCAATTGAGTACCATATCAGCTTCTCCGCTGAGGTCTTACAGGCCGCAAGTTGTAGAGTCCTGCGGATTTGTGAGAGGCCAAATGTGGTACTCCAGTGAGAAAGCCAGAAGCCTGTTTTCCATCTTGATGATGGTGTGCATGTTTCTCCCAAGCAACACCATCTCAAGTTCATTTCTTATGTCTTTTTATGAAATGGTGCCCTCCCTCATCCCACTCCCTAACAGAAATAAGTGAGCAACATATAAAAGCAAGAG